AGTGAAGAAGAGGCTGGACATGGTGGTAAAAGACAGCTAGATGGGGCATATAAATAGGGGGACTGAGATCCATAGTGACTAGGTGAAACGCTAAACTATTTAGAAAATAATGAACACAGAAAGGATTGTGAGTGACTCAATGGTAGCCTGAAGCCTAGCAAGCACAAGTCCCTGAGTTCTAAACCCCACTAGTGCCCCATAAATAGTAAATAGAAGATATTTGCAAAATAATAAATGAGTCATTAATTAACTAATTAATTTTTATTTTGTTTCTGGTCATGGCTGTTGAATTCAGGGCTTGGTCTCTCTGTCCCTGAGTCTTTCTCCTCAAGACTTGCACTCTACCACTTAAGCCACAGCCCCACTTCTGGCTTTTTGGTGGTTGATTAGGGATACCAATCTTACAGCCTTTTCTGCCCTGGCTGGCTTCAAACTTTCTTTCTCAGTTCTCAACCTCCTATGTAGCTAGGGTTATATATCTGAGCCACAAACAACTGGTGGTATTTTTATATTTATTATTTTTTCTTAAATGGTGCACACTGTTTAAGAGATAAGTAAAAAGATAATAGTTTTCTCCTTTCCTTAAGTGGCTGAGCATGCAAACAGGAAACTCTAGTGCTCTATCATCCTTGTATTCCTGAGAGAAAGTGGCCAGTTTTAATACACACATATGTTTGGCTTAGTCTTACCAATATTTTTACTAGAATTTTTGCTTCTGTGTTCATAAGGAGCTCAAACCATCCTTTTGTTTCTTTACTGTGTGTGATCCTTATCTGGGTTAGGATTTAGGATTTCTCTCAACCTCAAGTGAAATCCGGAAATTCAACTCTTCACTCCCCCCCCCATCCTATTCCCCCCCATCATTATTCCACCCAAATGCAATCATTATATTTTATTCCCTTATCCCCTTGAAGTTTTTTGAGTTGAATTTTTCTCCCAAAACATGGGTTGCTACACACTTTGAGACCTGCATATGCAAATAATCTCATACACAATCTAGTTCCGTGGGGTTTTTTGGAAACCCATTTTACTCTACAGTAACGATGCTTTAATGAAATGCCATGTGCATCACCAGTAAGTGATATGAGAGCATCTCTGTGGATTTAGAATACTGCAGCCCGGGAAGACTGCACACTTCCTATTACCTTCCTTTATCCCAGACATTCCTCCCATAGAGTATCACTCATACATCCCAAATAGAGTCCACATTTCTCGGTACTAGTGGAGTTTGAAACGGCTCATTATGCGGAGACTCCATAGAAAACTCCCATCTGAAAATTCTTTTTCCTATCACAATCATCTTTCTCTCCTCTCTTTCTCTTTCCTCCCTCTCTTGAACTTCTTTTTTTTCTCGTAATTACTTTTCTTTTTTATTATTAGCCATGGTTTAACAACACCTCTGTGCTTAATGTACGAAGTCAGCTTATTCATAGGTGTCTGGAGAGAAACATAATATACAACCTTTAGGATTACCTGTAGCTTCAGGCATGTAATGGAGTCTTTTTTTTTTCAAAAAATCCTTAAGTAGTAGTTGTACAAAGGGGTTTCAATTCAACATGTCAGGTTGTGAGAACAATGAATCTTCATCGCAGAAATAATACCAAGTGCAGACTTTCATATACCTCTTGAAACTGTGCTTGACCAAAAGAATAAACTTTCAGGATCAGGAAAGATAAGTCTGAGAACTAGGATATGAAATTCAAAGGCAGGCATACAAAAACAAGTACTATATGACTTCATACAAATGTGGACTTTAAACAAATTGATCTAAAATAAAAAGTTGATTTCATAGAAGTTGAGAGCAGAATGGGAGTGACCACAACTACGGAAAGGAAGATGGGGAAAGTGATGAGGAGGGGTTAATAGTCAGTTAACTATAGTTAGGAGTTCCGGTATATTACTGCATAGCAGGGTGTCTGTATTTGGTAATGATGCACCATATATTTGAAGAATAAAACTAGGCAAAAAGGGGAAAAAAGAAAATCAAAAGCAAAAAGGACAGATGGCAAAAGATGTATTGCAGTTTATTTGAAGAAGAAATGAAACTCTTGGATGTGCTGTTTTGATATGGAATATTTTCTCATATTGGCTCTGAATGAGAAAGGTAATTGGACTGAATTTCTACTCTTCACTAAACGGGAGTTTCAACGCACTGTCACTGGCAATGTGGTGCCACAAAAGAACATCAGTCAAGTTGAGACTCTTTATGTTGCTAGTTTTGACTTTTGCATCATGTCTTGCAATGAGGAGCAAAAAGATGCAAAAAAGGATGTGGCCACTAGGGTTTTGGAGAAATTTGTACATTATGTTCATCACATTGTCTCCTAATTCTACACTCCTTGTATGAGGTTTATCAGAGGAATCCAGTGAAGGTGCTTAGACAGTCATCATGTTTCTTTTCGTATCAAATAATTATCTCCTAGCATGTATTAATATTTGATCCTTTTCTCCTCCCCCTCCTCCTCTTCCTCCTCCTCCTCTTCTTACTCCTCCTCCTTCTCCTTTGCATAATTTGCACTAGGAGGAGAAATACCCAAAGGAGTAATTTATGGGAATGGTGCTAATCTAGTGAAATCTGTTAATTTCATGTTTAGTATATGGATACCTTTATTTGTTTTAGTATTCATATTTGAAGATGAATTGTTTCAGATGGATTGCTGAATTATTTAAGCTAAATTGTTAAATTTGTTTTATATTAGCTTATATTATTTTACAAAGGCTAGCTTAGATTATAAGTGCATTCTCCAGTGTGACAGCAATATTTCAGCTCCAGTATGATGTACAAATTCTGTTTTGTTTTTTACTCTTTTCCGGAATGAAACACAACTAAGTTCAAAAGTAATTATTTTTTTTTATTTCAACTCTATAAAGTATACAACAGGCACTCGGCAATTACAGCTGCAGGAAAAATACAGAGCAAATCAAAGCAGGTTAAGTTTATGAAAAAGTTCTTCATCTACATGTAAAGAGTGCAAGTGGTCAAGGACCATTTGATGACGGTTTGTTGCATTCTGACTAACAAAAGACTCTTTCATGTAGAACAAGTGGGAAGAGGACAGTCAAATAAACTATAGCTGTAAGAATACAAAAGAACTCACCATTTGTAAAAACATTATACATTGAAAATTAATTTGATTGATGATGCTTAAAAGAAATATCCCTTTACTCAGAAAGCCCAAACCTCTGAGTTATGGTCAAGGTCCCAGAGCTCTGTCTGTTGACACAGGGGCAGATAATGAGGAGAGCTAACAACATACTTTCAAAGTTTTGCTTTCTAAGTCTGTTGGATATTTGCTTCATTGCTGATTTGCATATACAAGCACTCAGAGAAAGCGTCCTGTTTTGTTGAGAGGTGCACCAGGGTACTTTTTCATCATTGGTTTCATAACGAGGTGTGGTGCGCAGTCATTTCCAATTTATTTATTTATTTATTTTAACTCTTTTGGGTTGGACCATGGTTCGTGGAGTGAACACAATGAGAAATGTGAGGATTTGACTGCACAAATTTGTTTTATTTTACTGACTCGGCACAACTTAGCAAAACAGGAATACCTGTATACAGACTGATAGTATGTCATGTATTAAGTTCACCTGCACATACATTTATACATTTCACAGAAATGATGCTGTATCTCATGAACAGATACACAGCTCTGGAACATTTAACAAAAATAAGGGAACAACTTCATCATTTCTGTAATTCATCAATGTTATATAATAAAGGTTTATAAATTGTTAGCAGAAAGAACTGTAAAACGCAGCAAGCTAAGAAAGGACAACATTTTGAGGTGTGTTTGTCTTTGTCATGCAGCATAACACCAAATTTGATTTTTTATAAGATGCCATGAATTTAAGGCACTTGCAACAATGCCAGATAGCCAGGTCATGTTCTAAACTATGGGACAGATGAGTGACAGTACCGTTGACATAATTTTCAATAATACTGACAAATATGACATTAATTCAAGTCTACTTGGACCTAAACCATTATTCAATAAAATAAAAAGAAATAATAATGCTGTGAAACACTAAACAAAGTTATATGTACCACAAAATATCACACAAAAATATCTATTTACATAAATATTTGTCTGTGGTCCTATCGTGAAAGAAAACATTTTTATGGATAATGCACAGATCATCTGTTTTCTGAATTCAGTTCTAACATCCTTGCCTTCAATCTCATAGATGACTTTTAAATTAATCATCAGTTCAGTTATTTAGAAATGAAACTACAAGAATTCTATAGTTGAATTTATATATTATTTCACATGTGTCTGTCACATGTTTCTTCCATCATTGAAAAAATATAATTGAAAGAATACAATCAAAATAAATTTGTTTTAAATGCTACATGGATCTGATACATCTTTTAATAACAAAGAAGAAACCTAAAAAATCAATTATAACAATTTCCATAAACCATTTTCTCTAATGAATTCAATTTATTTCAAACATAATAGTATTCCTTCTCTTGGCAATTTTCAGTTTCCTTGTGAGTCAAGACACACAGAAAGCCCCATTTCCCATACTCAAAATATTAACAATTAAGTCAGTTAACAAATCAAACAGCTTGGCACTGTTCTAACTTACCTAGACTTTTTTCATGTAATAAAAAAGAGGGGATGTGAAAATTTCAGAACTAAAGTAGATGCATTTTGTGAAGCTGACCATGAAGTATAGCCCTAGTGTCTTCATTTAGACGAGATTTAAATCCTTAAAACTAAGTATTGAATACCAGGTGAATGTTTTCTGTTAGCAATTCTTGGAAGTTATAGTTCACCTTTGTTTTATTTTGGTGATTGCTTTCAACAACCTAATGCAATGACCTGAAATGAATAGGGATTCAGTTCTAAGTGGGAAAACAACCTATAATTGTAATGTGCTGAATGCCACTTCTCACTTTTCCATTGTGCTTCCGCATATGTTGTCTTAGACTTGAACCATAGGTCCCAAATCCTCTGTTACCTACCACTTCTGGGGCTGTTGAGATTTTTTTAAATTGTAGAAGTAGATTCACTTTGCTAATGACAAGGAAAATAAATTCTACCAATCCTTTAGCATGTTTAAATTATAAAGTCACTGACATTGATGCTAAAGTTGAAACAATCTATTTTAAAGCTCAGTTAAAAGAAACAACACTTCTGAAATAACATCTATCCTAGCTAGCTTTTAAGTAGATGTTTTTTACTTTATATTCTAAGTCTATAGTGATCAGCAGATGTCTGGGAATAGACTGATTTTGAAAAATTGCTTGAAAAGGCGGGAAAATGCCAATAATACAATAAATAACTTAGATCAAAGTCTTAATTATTTTTTCTAATTATAATGCTTTTATTAGTTTCTAATTATTTACCTTTAGTATAATAGGCCATCGGCCTATTATATTTTGAAAATATATTCTAAAGTACTTTTGAATATGAAAAATGTAGCCAAAACTCATAATATTTGCTTTCTGGGCTGGGACATCATAATCTAATTGGACATACTTTATAGAATTTTCTACACTGACCAAACATATACTTAGACAAAAAACAAGCAAAACATACTTAGACCAAAAAGCAAATATATACTTCTTAGGCCAAATTAACACAAATATCTACACCAGGATGACAGCTTGGATGGTAATACATATGTCTGTGTAAGTATAATGTATCTGCCTGAAAGAAGCTTCTGCTACATAGGACAACTAATCATAGTAACATGGCCAGGCATCACCAGACTTAATTTGTTGATTCTTTTTCTCACATGAAAACATTTGATATTAAAAATCCAAGCTTTTCTAGCTAACAAGAAACTTCAGGAATACAATTATTTCTGTCTTATTTAGCTTTTATTTTTAGGAAATCCCTTTCCTGTTTTCCTCTCTAAACCCTTCCTATTTTGACAAACTCTGACTACTTCATCAAAAGATAATCAGTACCTGGTTCTTGTCATGTTCTGTGACCTCACATAAGCAAAGTTCCTGGTTCTAGAAAATCTTCATATCTTTGACTTTGTATTTATTTTCTTTTCCTTTCTGATGTTTGTTTCTTTTAGTTCAGGCCTAAGACAAGGAGCTAGTTCATTCATATATATATCATATATATAATATCATATGTAAATATCATATATTATATATATGATATATATCACCTTTCTCTCTCAGACCCAGACTATGTTGTATAAGTGAAATCTGACAGAAATTTGATTTAATAAATTTAGTGAAAATGCTTGCATCTCTGGCTAGACATGTAATGATTAGAATTTCTGTTGTCTGTTCAGACATTGACATTACAGATGAAAGATATACATAGCACCTATAGAGTTTTTTGTATTTTTTATTTTTTGGATGGACCTTAATGCCTTCCACCCTATCCCTCCCCTACCCCAAGGGTTCATTTTTATAAAAGGGAATATTTGAAGCCCCAGTTTGAGGGTATGTTAGGTAATAAATAAAAACCAATTTGCTGCTACTCATTTCCAGGACCCTCTTTAAGCACTATATGTATATATATATATATATATATTTAAATATGAAATGATTTTGTGAATTGTTTTTTCCTCCCATTCTGTCATGCCAATTTATCAAAAAGGAACAAACAAATACCATGCATTTTTTTTCAGTCCTCGGAAAACACACATGACCCTGCTACAGAAAGGGCTCAGCAATCCCATAGCAGTTGTGCTTTTATCATACCAATTTTTAAAAAATCTGTCAGAAAGAAAAGATAACATTCAGTCTTGTCATCAGCACTGCTGGGAAATAAAATTGTGAAACTTCTAGCACTGGTTTGACATGAATGCTGTGACCCACAGATATGTGGTCTTCTGTGTACAGTATACCTACTGGCTCACAGTAACAGATTTCACAACCTTCATTTGAAAACAGGGAATAAGCCCAGGATCTGTACCCTAGTCATTTCCCCTACTCAATATATTATTCTTTCATCCTCTTGATAACTCTAGCAGGGTATAGACTCCTCTACTAAGTTGAAGTGTCTCCTACAGTCTTTCAAATTATAATCAGAGCAAAGCAAGATCATTGCAACAACAGAAAAAAACAACATCTCTTTACTGGTGAAAGACTTTGCTTCAGGACCACCATGTCAACTGCTATGTTAGATTCAAAACAGAAAACATGTAAAGAGCACTATTGTCATCTAAGCAATAAGTCCTAATGCCACTGTAGTTACTGGAGCAGCATCGATCAAAGGCATCATGGTGACCCCGAGCACTAATCTTCTCTCTTTCCCTCGTGTTTGCTGGCAGCTGTGTCTCAGAAAAAGCTGTCTTCAGCAAGGCAGAAGCAGGTAAGAGAAATGCATTAGAAGTCTATATCCCAGCCCGAGTTGTCATCAGGGGGCGGTTCGTCGCTGTCCTCAGGGAAACTGTCAAAATTGCTTGTGTCTGTGGGTGATGCCACCTGCAACAGGAGAGACTGCATAGTCCAAAGCCTCTCACGTTTTCAAAATTCCAAGTGACAATATTATTTGTTCCCTGTTCTTAATACGGTAGTTCCTAAATGTATGTGTTTGTTTAATATGGAAAAGATTAAAATGAAGTACTAAATATTGTGTCATAGACATATCCATTGCATGATGTTTAAATCAGATTAAGCAAATGTGTTTTAACCATTTATTATTTATGATAAAAATAATTTAGTTTTTCCTCTAGCCTCTAGTACATTATCATTCTCTTTGACCAATGAAAAATGTAACAACCATGGGGCAGTCTTTGCCCCTGCCCTTCTCAGCTCCAGGCCTTTGATAACTACCATGCTACTCTCAACTTACGTGAGATGAACTCTTTTAGATGTTACATAGGAGCATGATTATGCACTTTGCAATAGCTGCCTCTGCACCTGACTTAGTGCACTTAACATAACGACCTCTATTTCCAACCATGGTGTTGCAAATTACTGGAATTCATTGTTTTTATAGTTTTCTGTGGTTTCTGTATATCCGTCTATCTATCTATCTATCTATCTATCTATCTATCTATCTATCTATCTATCTATCTATCTATCTATCATCTATATCACATTATCTTTTTTCATCAATAATTTTAAGAATAATTTTATTCACTTTCTACTCTAGAACCATTTCTGGCCTTCTAGTATGTACTAAGCACAGTGAGTGACTATTGATTTTTTTAAAAAAAGGAAATGGCTCTTACCCTCAAATATTTATATTATAATAGATAATACATTGTATGGCTAAACCAAGCACAGAAATCTATGTGAAATTATGAATTTTGGCTAGTGCTTTGGAAAAATAAAAAATTCCACAAGAGCAAGTGGTCACAAAAAGTCCATTTGGAAAAGTTCAAGAAGTGTAGGGCACACACCCATGCCCTGAGAGAGAGCCACATTTTGAAATAATGAAGAGGACAACATCACTCCTGGCTAAACAAGGAGCCAACTGGTATGAGTAGAGCCTGGAGAAATAGAGCCATGTTATATAGATATTTTGTGTGCAGCTTCTAAGGACAATAGAATCCATACTTGAACAACACTTACAAATTTACCAGCTGAATTCCAATTTGCAGAGATCAGTGAAAACCTGCCTAATATTACTAGTACATACTTGACCCTGGGAAAGCCTGGTTGGATAATTTGATATTCACATCTCCCTGTTTCTTCCTCTGTTCTTGCTCTAAAATAAAGCTTTTCAAATGCAGTATATTGCATTCAACAGATACAGTGCTGGTAAAAATAAAATCTAAATGAAAACTGTTGAAACCTATTTCAAATTAGTAGAGGTATGCAGTCTACTTATCTAACTCCTATTTAACAACAAGATGAACATCAAAGAATCTGACTTGTTAAGTAAAGGGGCTTCTTCTGGTAAGAAGAGCATTCTTTGAAGGATAAACATCCAGTCAAACTGGAGGAAGTCAGTAGCAACTAAGAGACATCAGTGAAACAGCATGGGCTAAACAGTGATTGTTGTTAAAACAGTTGCAAAATCACTATGCCCTTCTGCATATACTTAATATTTATCATAATGGAAGTTAATTGACTCATCAGTAAAGGAAACTTGAATTAAAATTGGAAAAAAAAACTATAAGAGCAAACAGATATATAAGTCATCCTTTAAATCAATATATCTATGCTTGTACTTTAGGATATGTTGAAACTTTAATACAGTACTTTATAGAATGTGTTTCACCTGATCATAGGATGGATGTTTAAAAATAACAAATATTTGTTGATTGACAAACTCTATCAAGTATGTCCTAGAATTCAGAGCTGGAATGTATACTTACACTTGGTATGATGGGAGGTGTCAAAGTACCTTTCCTTAAGCCTTCCCAATTAAAGCCTTCAAACCATCTAGGTGAGAAAAAAAATATAGGCAATTTAAGGTGGCGAATCCCAGTTGTAATCTTCTTATTACAACATGTTGGATATGTATAATGGCTAGATAGTAGTTAGGTAAACATTTACATGTGCCAAAAATATGTTCACCCTTTAACTGTAGAGTTTAATTGGCTTTTTCTTAAAGCGTGTACCTTTAGAAATGTAGTTATCAGATTTAAACACCAACTACCATGCAAATTCATTTCCTATAATTTCAGTTAGGATGTCTGTGTAACCTTGTCCCTCTGCAATTATTATAAGCAAATACATGTGATGATATGCTCACCCTATGTCCTGCATGTCACTTTACAGAGATAGAACTGGGTGGGAAGGAATCAGGGCATAAATTAATAATCCATCTTTGCTACTGGGTCAGTACTCAGCTTTGACTAATTTAAATTTTCACACCACAATGTTTGGCTCTTCGTATTCCGCTTTCCTCATTTACCGTCTTTTTCAATAGGAAGAAGTGTACTAAGTAAATTATTTTTCTGTAAAAATGAGAACTACATACTGTAACACTAGAAATTGTATGATTTTTGTCTGTGGAGTATTTCAGCATTAACAAATACTTATACCAATTTCTTAGCAAGTCATACAAAATCACAGCTATCTCAGTAAATAAGCTTATTTGATAAGGATGTGGGTTTTCTGGGAGCATTACAGAAGCAGATGAAAAGAGAGGAAAAATAAACAATTTGTGTTGGCTTGGCTTTAGAAACTCTAACCAATGTATCTAATGGTGAAGATGCTGGAGTTTGTTGTTGTTTTGGTTCATTTTGTTTTTAAACTTTTTGACCTTTTGTTCTATCACCTTACTTAATGGACAGGAGGTGATATGAAACTACATGTTTTTAATTTAGTAGAAAAATGTAGAATGTCAGATTTTTTCTGTTATGCTATTAAAGAATAGTTTCCAATTTTTTAAATGCAATTTTTCTTTTAAAAAATTTAAAGTAAGTTTTTTATTGTGAAAATACTGTACAGAGGGGTTACAGTCACATGAGAAAGGTAATGAGTACATTTCTTATCAAGCATTGTTGCCTCCTCCTTTTTTTCCCCTACCATCCCTTCCCTCCCATCTCCACAACTACACTTCTCCCCTCCCCCTCCCTCCCCTCCCTTGCCCCCCTGCCTAAATTGTAAAGTTCATTTTTCGAAATAACATCTTTTTCATCTCATTGTTGCAATGGGTCCGCCTGTATCCCTATTTAAACAGTATTTTTTCCCTTCCACTGGGTCAGAGGGAAGAAAATGTCAGTGCCCAGGGGCTAGGAGAAAGTGCATTTGTTGTTTGGAAAGTCATAAAGTAGTAAAATAGTTAGATACACTAACATCAAGCTCTATACACACTGACAGTTCTTGGTAAAATAAATTTGTCTACATTCTCACTTTCAATGTTACTGCAGAATTATTGCATTATGTATATGTATTATAAATGTATTGTATTATGTATATAACAGTAACTCATTTGTCTACATTCTTTCTCTCTTTGGATATCACTGTAGGATTATTTTATATAGACACTAGAAAACATCACCCTGTGGAAATTCTCAACAGGTTTTCTGAACTCTGAAATAGAAAAACAAAGAACACTTACTTGTGCTTTTGAATGTCTTTTACTCCATTTTTCAAATTTCCTAATCTTTCAGATGGGTTGTCCCTAAAAATAAAATAATAGTTTTGTTAAGTAATCTATTTTTTTCACACTGTGATACCTTCAAATATAATGTGCTTGAATAAGGTGTGGTGGTTCATCCCTGTAATCTCAACAACCAAGCAGGAGAATGATTAAGATCAGGGCTAGCGTGGACTGTAGAGTGAAATCCTATCTCAAAAACAAACCAATGATGATACAAGAAAATGTGGTTGAAACACTAACCTGCATAGTTTTTTAATTAAATTAGCAGCATTTTTGGCAATCTTCTTTGGAAATTCTATCATATCAATCCCTCTCAGGATGATGTTATAGGTTTTCATAGGATCTGGGCCTGAGAAAGGTGGGCTGCAAAATTGAGAGACATAAGATGTATCATGTTTGATAAGGAATGTACTCATTACCTTACTCATGTAACTGAACCCCTCTATACAGTATTTTTACAATAAAAATGTATTAAAATTTTTTTAAATGTATCATTTTTGCTTTGTCAAAAAGAATACTCTTGCTGTATTAAGTTCTACAATTCTTATGCAGGGCTCCAAGTTAATTAAACAAATGGAATACAATGTGAATAATATTAAAACAACCTGGCCATTCACTTAGTGAAACCATCAGTGCATAAAATATATTTGCTGTTTCCCTTCCATCCTTTAGTGCAAGTGCCTGACCCCTCTTGCTGTTCTTATTTATTCAAGCTGTGTGCTTTATCTTCTGGTTTTCCTCACACGAACTGATGCACTGATTATACTGGGATGAAGTGTAAAGTCATTAAGAGGAGTCACAGGAGAATTAAGGATACGACCTCTCCTCATGTCACTGACACCATTACTGCAGGCAGGCACAGAAGCACCGTCCATCTCAGGGAATTATTTTGCCTAGAGATTCATCCCATATTTATCTGACTAAGGACTCATTTCATCAAGTCTCCATTTAAATGTTGCACTGCTTCCTCCCAAGGCCTACTTGGATAACCTACATCAACCAAAAGTGTCTGATAATCTGAGCTAAAACAGGAAAGATTCAGTTTTCTGTTCTTTCCAAACCTGAACTTCTTCTGAAATGACTCCTTTACTTATTTTCCTCAGCACCTGTCATGTGGGTGTGTTAGTTTTTCTTTTATATTGGTCCTGCAGGAGCTTGGAGTGTATCTTATATCTTATGCTGACTTTAGCAGTTATGAATTATGTATTACAATCTTCAGCAAAATGCATCCATCTAGATATAAAAATTGCTAATAGATTCTCTTACTTCCATGGAGAGTTGATCTAGACTTGTTTATATGATTACTATTTGTCTTGCTCCATTGCCAGCCAAATGACTACCATCAAAAGTCTCATGGAGCTGGGCACCAGTGGCTGACGCCTGTAATCCTAGCTACTCAGGAGTCTAAGATCTGAGGATCATGTTTCAAAGACAGCCTGGGCAGGAAAGTCTGTGAGACTCTTATCTCCAATAAACCACTAGAAAACCAGAAGTGGCACTGTGGCTCAAGTGGTAGAGTGCTAGCCTTGAGCTGAAGAGCTGAGGGATAGCACCCAAGTCCAGAGTTCAAGCCCCACGACCGACAAAAAAAAAGTCTCATATAGGCTGGGAACGTGGCTTAGTGGTAGAGTGCATGAAGCCCTGAGTCCGATTTCCCAATACCACATAAACAGAAAAAGCCTAAAGTGGCACTGTGGCTCATTTTGGTAGAGTGCTAGCCTTGAGCAAAAGAAGCTAAGGGACAGTGCCCAGGCCCTGTGTTCAAGCTCCATGACTGGGAAAAAAAGGTCTCATGGAAAGGGATTGAGTCCTTCATATAATCATCACTCTACATAAAAACTTAGTAAGAACAAAATTACAAGTTAGCAATGAGTTGCTTGCTCGCATATAACTTGTGTCAGCTCTTGTGTCAAGAATTCATGATCATTTAAGTAACTAATTGAAGCATGGTAACAGGGAGGCATATACTTTAAGTTGGTCTAAATGGAGGGCAGAGGCAGGAGTGTGTAGGTATTTTGGGTCCATTTTTATTGAGCTCTTCCCTATAAATGTCCATACCTGCCAGTCAGAAGTTCATACATTAGAATTCCCAGTGACCAGTAGTCAGCTGAAATGTCATGACCTTTGTTGAGGATGATCTCTGGGGCTACATATTCTGGAGTTCCACAGAAAGTCCATGTTTTCTTTCCAAATCCTATTTTCTTTGCAAAGCCAAAGTCAACCTTGCGAAAGAAAAAAGTAAGATACTTCAGCCATTTATATTGTACATCAATAAGCTGTGGAGCAGTAAGTTATTTTGCTGAACGACACTGGCAATGATCAACACTAAAAATATAAACATGGGTAGAAATAATGACTATATTGCAAGCATTTTAGATGAAATTTACATTATTACAAAGACAAGCAAATCATTCTCTGGATAAACACTTTGCTTTCTCTACTTTGATGACAATGGAGGTTTATAGGGCTTAGGAGACTAAGTAGGCCAACAACTTCATTCTCAGAATAGACAAAATTACTGCTGTAAATCAGAAGCTGGCCTTTCATCTACTGTTAATTATTTGAGAAATCCCTTTGTTGTGAGCAGAGGTGAAGAACTCATGTATGTGACTAGCAACTCTGCTCTTGGTGCATATGAGCAGATAAAATAGAAACTTGCCCTAATTTTTCTAGGAATCTTCTGAAGGAAGAACTGCAAATTCAAACACAGAATTTCTTTCCTAAAGCAAATTGATTTAGATATTAATACTAGCCTCCATAGATTTAATTTTTCTAACAATTATATGATGAATACAAAATCACAGAAAGGGCAAGGCACCAATAGCTGACAAGTGTAATCCCAGCTTCTCAGGAGGCTGAGATCTGAGGATCACAGTTCAAAGCCAGCCCAGGCAGGAAAGTTCACAAGACTCTTATTTCCAATAAACTACTAAAAATAAAATAAAAAATTTAAAAAGCTGGAAGTAGAGCTGTGGCTCAAATGGTTGGGCAATCCTCTTGAGCAAAAAAGCATAGAGACAGACAGCACTCAGGCCCTGAATTGTAGCCCCATGATTGGCACCAAAAAAAATCACAAAAAATTTAAAAAATAAAATCACTTACTGATAGATATGAAGTCTACAAAAAACTGGGCACTATTAAATGTTTTTACTATTTACTATATGTAAATCTTCAGCTCTTTGGATCGATTATTGCAAATAATTTTATTTATAATATAGAAAACTAAAACATAATACTGAGCATATAATATATACTCATTGCCTTGGATGGCAAAGGCTGGATGAACATATAATTTTTACTAGTACTTCTAGGTCCATGAACACATGCGAGTAAGGATATTTTCTAATGCTCATTAGAAAGTGTATTTTGTCAGAGTATTATTAACACAAACCTAGTTACTTAGATTCTCATAATATTTGCATTATTTCTTAAAACCTATTGTAAGAACAGTTATCCCATTAAAATGAAAAGAAAAAGCTTGCTTTCAATGTTAGCAAATGAGCACAGCTTTGCAAACAAACACTTTAAACCTGCAGCACAGAAACCATGTGTGACAGACACTGACCAGTTTGGCGTAGCCTCGGTGATCTAGAATGAGATTTTCTGGCTTAAGGTCCCTGTAAATGATTCCTTTGGAATGCAGATAGGCAAATGCTTCTACCACACAAGCTGTGTAAAATCTGGTTGTAGAATCTTCAAAAGAACCTCTGAAATACAGACAATAGAATGCAAACAGTATGAGTAATTTCTCTAATTAGGCTGATTTTTATTTTGTCATTTTGCTAAATACCCATGTCAAAATTCCTTTCGATACCAGAGTCCAACAGCTTAGTGTGACATGATTGCCATTCCACTTGGGTTTAAAAAAAAAAAACATCTGAGGATCAAATCAAGGACCTCTCTGCATTGGTGAGTGGGGCAGTTAAATCTCACTTCCTGAAAGGGGTCAGGAGGAGTTCTATAACAGACCAAGATTCACAGACTTGGTAGCTTCCTTTCAACAGCCCACTAGGATATAAAATAGCAAAGATCTCAAAGACAGAGGGTGAGAGTATGATAGAGAATTCTATTTTAGAGACTGTCTACTAAGAATTTGCTTTTTAAAGGAAAAGCTTACAAATTTATTCCTATTCATTTTTTAGATATGGTTTTTGAAATGCAAACACAAAGCTATCATTCCCAAAGAAGCAACAAACATTTCCAGCTAGGTATTCATCCATTTTGAGACTTTTGTCATAAAGCCAATATCCATTTCCTCATTATCACCATCTCAGAAGCAAGAAGAGATAACACTAAAAGATGATTAGAAGAAGGTAATTGGGAGGAAATATTAATTTGATGGTGATATTTCACAAGAAAGTTCTCTTTCTATCCTTCTGCCTCTGTCTCTCTTCATTTATACATCTGTATATGTTGAGTTAATGAAGTACCAGTGAAGAAAATGAACTTGGCATCAAAGATGAAACGTTACAACAGAACCCTCTAGCCTTGCTTTATGCACATGACTCCTTAGAAAAAACCTGTGTTCATTCTTCTTTTTCAATTAATAAATTCAATCTAATAATGTTATTATTTAGACCATTAGCATGAATCAGCTCCTGGGGTGGCTGAGAGAGAGTAGGGATGGAGAGCATGAGAGTTTTAAATATTAGTTTGCAACAAACACTAGCCCCACAAGTTCATGCTCATAGGAGCCCCTGATGCCTGCTGGCCTTTGGGTGACATTTACCCATTTTTCAAATTTGAACAGTGATGTTTAACAAACTGAATGATGGAATATGGCCACATCTTTACCAAATATGATAGAAAATCTTAGGCCACTATTACCACCTCATAGGTAATTTTTCAGAATATTGTGTTTCAGAAATGTGTAATCTTTATTTCAATGACCAATGTCCCTGTACGTTGTCACTAAAATAACTAGCAATTCCCAAAAGAATTGTTGTTCTTTTGAAACGCGGTTCTAAGAACAATGGTATTTACTCCTCTAAGTACTGGAATTTTAGCTTCTCTGGTGCTACGCCTATGCTGAAGTTTGGAGAGCTCTACAATATTGGTTATCATTCCTCCAGAAGATACCTAGGGGCCAGGCAAGATGGCTGCTGCCTGTCATCCTAGCTACCTGGGACATGGAGATTGGACAGGTAACAGTTTGAAGATAGTTCAAGAGAAAAAGATTTTGAGGCTTCATCTCAACCAATAAAAGCTGGGTTATATGGGGTGCACCTATCATTCCAGCTACATGGAAAACATAGCTAGAAAGATTATAGTCCAGGCTACTCCAGGCATAAACTTGAGATCAAAGTATGGAGGTTCCTGAAAAAGACTCCACATAGAGCTCCCCTATGACCCTCCTATGACTTCTGAGCATTTACCCAAATGACCACAAACAAGGCCATACTAAAGCTACCAGCACAACTATGTTGATCGCAGCATCATTCACCATAGTTAAGATATGGAACCAACCCAGACTCCCCTCAGTAGATGAATGGATCAAGAAAATGTGATGTGATGTGTGTGTGTGTGCGTGTGTGTGTAATGGAATTCTATGCTTCCATCAGAAAGACTGGCATCACCCCATTCGTAAGGAAATGGAAAGACTTGGACAAAATCATTTTAAGTGAAGTAAGCCAGATCCAAAGAAACATAGAGATCCCATGGTCTCCCTCATTTATAATAACTAGTATATGTCTAGGATAGTCCTAGCAGATAAGCAGAATAGCTCAATAGCTTTGTACATATGACCATATAAGATGATGCTAAGCGAAATGAACTCCAGGACATAGAAACAAGAAGTTTTTCTTAGTTCTTGTTGTTTTTTGGGTTTTTTAAAATTTAATTTTTTTTGGCCGGTTGTGGGGCTTGGGCGCTGTCCCTCAGCTCTTCAGCTCAAGGCGAGCGCTCTACCACTCGAGCCACACAGCACCACTTCCGGTTTTCTAGTGGTTTATTGGAGATAAGAGTCTCACGGAATTTCCTGCCCCGGCTGGCTTTGAACTGCGATCCTCAGATTTCAGCCTCCTCAGCAGCTAGGATTACAGGCGTGAGCCACCGGCGCCCGGCTGTTCTTGTTGTTTTTAATGTACTATGTGATTTATTTTTGCTTTTGTGGGTTTTTTTTCCTATGGTTTATCACTTGTTGTCACTGTATTTGATTTAGGTGCCCTGAGTATTATATATACATTTATCTGAATTAAGGAAGGGAACGGGAACAACAAAATTGGGAGACAAAGGGTGAAGCAATGTAACAGTGATACAAGACAACATTGGAAATGAACTGTACAACTTGGTGGTGGTGGTGGGGATTTGGGAAGGGGGTAAAAGTGGAAGAAAAATGAGGGAAGGGGTCACAAGTTTGACAAGAAATGTACTCACTTCCTTACTTATTTAAGTGTAACCCCCCTGTACATCACCTTGACAATAAAGTTAAATTAGAAATTAAAAATAAAGAAATAGCTCAAGTAAAACAGTTAAAAATAGCTAAAATAAAAAGGGGCAGGGGCATGACTAAAGTGCTCGTCTAGCGAAAACCAGGGCCTGAGTTCCAGTACTTCTAAAGATGTATCTTGAGTATTTCCTCTATATAAATATATCTATAATCAATTATTTTTGAAAGAATAAAAATTTGTCTCAACCCTGGAATAATCAATATATTATATGCCCAACAATGTTTATCAGCCACACACTGTTTGTCACGGCATATTTGAGATGGTGGATTTAAAAATATACAACTTGATAGCAGGGCAAAACATGGAATTAGGGTGAGTCAATGTGAAAAATTACTAGCAGAATTGGAAGTGACAGTATAAATTTGATCCAAAACAGAAGTGAAAGCTTGTTTGATCAACAGTTTATACAGAGTTGCTTACAGAAATAAATCATTTGCTCTGTATAAAACTTTGAAATACTAAATTGTGCCTTTGCAGTTCTATCATTGCAGAAGAATGAGTAATGGCAGACTCTTGTACCTCCTTTAGAAATGAGTGGATGGTTTAGCTAAATGGCAGTAGATAACAATTTGCTAGAACTAGAAGATTATGGGTATTTATTGATAAGCACATAAAAATTTAATCACAATGATTAATCACCTTGTCATAAACTGAGTCCTGCAATATCACAATGTAAGTAGATAAAAACACTTCTTATCAAACACCACCAGGCAATACTAACTAGGAGTAGCCATATTACATATTACATTCTGTGCAGGCTTATTGATAATTGTAAAGTTAGTTCAATGGAGGATAAAGTTAAGTAATTATGCAACTTATTCCTTTTGAAATATTTTCAATCAGTACCATCTTTTGGGGCATTAAAGATGAAATTCAATAATCATCTCCACAAAGTATCTGGAATCAAGGAGAATGTACATAGGAAGTCACCTTTAGTCTTGTCCAGGAAGACACATGGATAGAGAGTGAGATGAATGAAATGGGAAAAGTGTAGTTTTGGAGTAATTATGCATGATACTTAGTAGAGGTATCACAAGGATCCAAGGATCCAACTGTAATCCTAGCTACTCAGAAAGCTGAGATCTGAGGACCCAGGTTTGGAATCAGCCCAAGCAGAAAAGTATATGAAACTCTAAACTCCAGTTAACCAGCAGAAATCAGGAAAAACTGTCACCCAAATTGTAGAGCACCAGCCTTGAGTGAAAAAGCTAAGAAGCTAAGAGATGAGACAGTCCCTGAATTCAAGTGTGTGTGTGTGTGTGTGTGTGTGTGTGTGTGTGTATGTGTTCTGACTTCACGTATTTTCATATATAATGTGGCTAATTTTCCCTGATATATTTTTCCTAACAAGTAATCTCTAAGATTGTTTTTGCCAGTCCTGGGGCTTGAACGCAGGGCCTAGGTGATGTCCCTGAGCTTCTTTTGCTCAAGGCTAGCACTCTACCACTTGAGCCATAGCACCACTTCTGGCTTTTTCTCTTTATGTGGTACTGAGGAATCAAACTAGGGCTTCATGCATGCTAGGCAAACTCTTTACCATTGAGCCTCCTTCCCAGTCCTTAATCTTTAAGATTTTAGCTCAAATCCAAACAAATTGAAAGCCTGCCAGTGGCTATGTCTGTTAGAACCTGGATACACAAAGTTGTGTTATGAAATAATATTTACTTTCAAAAATAAGTTGACAAATGATGTCTCTGCATGACTGATGGCTCGGGGGTGGGCAGTGGGTTGAGTTTTTATCACTATTATAGTTATTGGCCTAGTTCAGAAAATTCACAAAAGTTTAAAAAATATCTATGGGAATACAAATGGTCCTTTTACTGAGTGGCTTATCATTTGTTTTTCTGTTTAATTCTGGCTGCAAATCTATTCTTAACCACCAAAATATAAGGGAGAGGTTTAAAACATACCTGTAAAGAAGATTGAAATATCAGGTCAAAATTGTACAATAGAAGCACATTAGAATCAAAATATTAATATAATGTAATCAGATAAATACTGAAAAGTGAGCCCACATCTGTCACAGTAGCATCAGCCTCCTTTATTATTAATTGACAATAATATAATTGTATGCTATAATAGCTTAATATAAATGGCAACCTGATTCCTATAGCCAGGAGGATGCATTTCCTTGTATGTGTTTCCTTACCTATAACTTAATAAATCAAACAAAATACTACTGCAATAAAATATAATATGGTTAAAAAATCCATTTGACATTTGTTAAGTAGGGGCATGACCTAGAAAGAGAAAAGTGCAGTAAGAACACCATTAGGAACCTTGTTTTAATAATTTATAAAGAGCCACTTGTTTTATTCTGGAATCTACAAAGTAAGAAATGTTGAAAATATTACATGAAAACATTAATAGTAGCTATAGCTAGTTTCTTCATTGGAAAGAAAGTATTTAATGAAGGAGAATGCAGCACATAATCATTTTTTTCTTCTAATGGAAGAAAATATTCTAAGGAAAGTTAAAAAGTATATGGATAATATTGAATGATCTGTATAACATTTAGAAGAAATGACCAAAAGATTATTTTTAGGAAATGAAATTGAAATCTCTCTTTCTGCATATGTAAACATTTGTTATAGATATTGTCTTCAGATCTTTTATAGGATAATTTTAAAGATAATTATATAAGCATGAGATAAAAAATTTAGACTATGTTTGCTTAACCAAATGAAATAAACACTATCTAGAAATCTTTACTCACCCTGGAAGAGTAGAAAGATAAATTTAAATCATATTGCTTACATAAAATACTACAGATAATTGGGTTATTTTATTTCCCTAAGACTAGAAAGGACAAAAAGACAAGGTTGGAAATCTGTTTTAATTTTGGAACCAAACAACAGCTAAAGAAAATGTTACTTGGAAAAGAAAGTATGAGTGTCAGCGAAGATAGATTGTCCATCTGAAAACTAAATAGAGCAAGTAAACCATAGGTCCAGATGATACCTATAATCTTCCTCATGTTAAATGAATGGATTGAATTCCAGGTATAAAGCTAAACTAAGACTTGTCCATGAAGATTCCTAGGTACGTTTTTGTGTTGGTGCTTGCTTGTTGTATGTTTTTGTGCCAGTACTAGGGCTTGAACTCATTGTCTGTGTGCTACCTCTTAGGTTTTATTTTGCTAAAAGGCCTGCGCTCTATCAGTTGGGCCAGGGCTCTGCTTCTGGCTTTTTGCTGTTTCACTGGAGATAAGAATCACACAGACTTTCCTGACCTGGAACTGTTGATCCTCAGATCTCAGCCTCCTGAGTAGATAGGATTCTATATCTGAGTGACAGGGATGCAGGGTGGGGGAACTTGAGATAGTGTTTTTATGGAGGAGAGACCCTATATTGATTAGATACTAAGTGAGGTCTACATGTATTACAGTAAGTCATTTGGCCATAGTGAGTTATGCCTTGTGTTTACTTTGCATTTTGAAAAAGATATATATATATATATATACATATATATATACATACATATATATATATATATATAAGGATTTGTAAGAAGTGAGTGAAAATTTTAGACTTTATAACAATGTATTTTTCTCATAGAAATGTCTCAAATCTCCTACCTATCCCTGAGAATGGTCCAGAGCTCTCCACCCAGGCACGCTTCCATCAGCATATACAAATACTTGCTGTCCTTAAATGTTCGGTACAGCCTGCAAATAGTAAACATGAAAGCAGCGTAGAAACATCATTTTACATATTTAAAAATATTAAAAACCATATTGAATTGAACATTTCAAGATAACTAAAATTAATGTGGTTATGATCAAAGCATATGTAAAGCTGTGAGCGCCCAGACGGTAGTCCTCTCATTTGCCATGCATGAAAGTTTTTGAGAAAAAAATAAATGAAAAAAAAATCCGAAGTCACACTAAGGAAAAGAAGCCAATGGTCCATGAGTTAGATCTTCACACCATAGGAAACTAATGACTCACTTGAGATGATTTAATTCAAGTGATCATGGAGAAGAGAATTTTTTGGGATTCTATCAGTTCTAATTTGTCTGAGGTCCTAAACATTGATTTTCATATTGTATGTAATAGATTTAATAATTAAATAGACTACATTTTGTGAATATAGATGTGCAATTTTCATGTGCTTCTTATTTAAACCCATTCTATGTTTCATTTTTCACATGCACCACCACCACCATATTGACCAGAGCTGCTTCTACATGTGAAAAACGATCTGTTATTCTCTCATCAGTGCTTTCAAAATACTGAGGTGGAAGGATTGGCTGTCATGGCAGACGTACTGAAATGGGTCCTTGCCCTTGGGAGGCAGGCCCTTGACCATTTGGGCCTAGTTCATCCCAACACATTTTCCTCTTAATTTGTTTTTGAGATAGAGAGTTTAGCCTCAAACCATGATCATACTATCTCTACCACCTGAAAAGCTGGGATTACAGATATTTGTCAACTGCCATTTTATCTTTTTAAGTCTTCAAAAAGTTGAACTTGAATAGTTTTTGACTTTTTTCTTTCAAGAGCTCTAGAGATTTTTTTTTTTACTGAGAACCTTGTTCTCTTTGAAAATATCATAACTTTATTTTTTAAAATCAAACAATACTTTCAAGTTTCTTTTCAGGTCAAACATGTTAGGGGTGAGTGCAAGTGGCAGAGGGTGCTATGGTTGGCCTATCTCACCTGTCACCTATGCCCAGGGTGGAGTCTTTACCTGACAATGAAATCAGAATGGGCCCCCTGCATGATCTGCTTCTCCGAACGGATGTGTTCCTGCTGTCTGGTGTCCACGATGTGGCGTTTCTTGAGAATCTTCATTGCAAATGTTTTGGATTCTTCACTTTTCAACTGGACCTTAAAGATAGGCAGAAAGGACGAGTGAGCAAAAGCTGAGTATAGGTTCAGTATAACAGAGCACACTTTCATCCTGAAATTCACAGGTGCAAGACGCACTTAAATAAACTCAAAGTACTACCCAAGTCGCCCATACCATCAATTCTTGCAAGAGCTCCAGAACTGCAAATCCTATAGCTCATAGCCATCATCCTACCTCATCCCATGGAATCAGATACATTCCAACCAATTTGATTCAAGTGTGTGAGACAAAGTATGATCATCTGGGTCTTAATGATTCCTTCCTCCTACTCCTACTCTACAAACATTTCAACAGTTACTAAATGATTGACCCTTGTCTTGTCATTTCTTCTGTTTGCTACCTAAGTCTTTCCCTTGCCTCCAATTAATAAGAAAAATAGCTATGTACATATGACCATATAAGATGATGCTAAGTGAAATGAACTCCAAGACATGGACATAGAGGTTTTTCCTGTTTGTTGTTGTTTTAATGTATTTTGTGATTTCTTGTTTCTTTTGTATGTTCTTCCCCCTATATTGTCACTGTATTTGATTTTGGCACCCTGGTATTGTATATACATTTATTTGGATTAGGGAAGCAAAGGGGAACAACAGAATAGTGAGACAAAGGATTAGGGGGGACCAACGCAACAGCGATATACACAAGACAATGTGTTGGAAATGATCTGTACAACTTGGGGAGATTAGGGCGAAAGAAAAGGAGGAGAAAATTGAGGGAAGGGGTAACAAAGCTGACAAGAAATGTACTTTTTACCTTACTTATGCAACTATAGTCCCTCTGTACATCACCTTGATAATAAAAAAAGACCAAAATTTTTCAAGAGATTTTTTTTAAAACAATTTTTTTCCACTATCCATAACAAAGTGTTTTCCTTTGACCTCAACCTTACACCTTAAGTTATATTATTTGAGGCTGGGCATCAGCGGCTCACACCTCTAATCCTAGCTACTTAGGAGGTTAAGATCTGAGAATCATGGTTCAAAACCAGCCAGGGCAGGAAAGTCGGTGAGATTCTTATCTCCAATTAACTACCAAAAAGCTGCAAGTAGGGTTGTGGCTCAATGAGACAATGATAACGTTGAATAATAATAACAATAAAAAAGTTAGCAGGGGGTAACAGTGCAACAAGAAATGTATTCACTACCTTACATATATATCAGTAACCCCTCTGTACATCATCTTGACAATAAAACTAAACTTAAAAAATGTGAACAACAGCACCCAGGCTCAGAGTTCAAGACCCCAGACTGGCACAACATAAAGTATATTAATTGAAGGACCTCCTTTGAGTCTTAATATTTCCAAGTGGCCCACACCTCTGAGGAACCTACATGGATCCACTGATTTGCCATATAGACTGAATAGAACTTGGGTCTTCTGAGGGATGACCCACAGACAGCTTGTGTGTTCACACGGTGAGAAATTTCAACAAGGAGAAAGAAAAAGGGAAGGAAGGAGAGTGGAGGGGTGGGGAAGGGAGGAAACGGAAGAGAGGGGGAGGAGGTAATCAATCACTGATAGTGATATGAAAGAGTTAGCATTCAGCACTCTAAAACAGCAGACTCCTCAAAAGGACGCCAAAACAGCCCCATTATTCAGATCTAATGAAAGCCTTAACATGACAAGCTGGTTGTGCTCCTCAGCTGAAGCACAGTGCTCCTCTCCTGAACTGTGAATTATTTGCTGCTTCGTCTGCAGGAAGAGCAACATTCTTAAGTGTCTTCTTCATGCACACATGTACGATCTGAGAGGACATTAATGTCACAAGTTCCTTCTGGAGAATCATGAGGATACTTCAGATAAGCAAGCCTTGATTTGCCCTCACCAATTTCGAATCTGTATGACAGGTTGAAAAAATGTACTTTTGGAGGAACTGCCAGATGATCTCCGTGGACATCTTTTAAATGACAGATTAGTGTGATGCAAATAAATTCACATCCAAGGTGAAAGCTCACTTCCAAAGCAAACCTGGGTGCTCTAATCTAGTTCAATTATTGAAAAGAAATATTCTCTTTATTGGTAACAGATTAATAGTTTTGTTTTGTTTTTTCTATCAGGGACTGAACTTAAGGCCTCCTGCATGCTAAGTAACTGCTTCACAGCTTGAGCTAAACTCCAGCTCTTCTGTGCTCACTTTGCGTTTGAAATAGACTCTCACCGACCTTGTTCAGGCTGGACAAGAGCTAATGCTGTTCCTCCTCCCTGGATAGTACATGCTCTAAATCTTATATGCATTTCAGTTTAAGGATCTCTTTAGCTCGAAGCACTTCTCGTTAAATAAGTGACACACACTGAGTGCCGTACTGTGGCACCCATCTGCTCCCATCCTCACACTAGCTCCCTTCCCTGCTACTATTCAAATAGCATTTAAGGAGCTACTTTAAAATTTTCTTATGTTTATACAACAGTGATCTAACTCCTACCATTCCTAGACAGGGGAAATACATATGATGTTAATACCCATTTCATGTCATATGAATACTGTTGTGCACTGTGACTTCAGTGTGAAGCATGGTATTGCCATTTGAATTCAAGCACCCTTGGATATGACGAATCTTAAGATGTGAACTTCTGTCACGGATTCTGGCCAGTTTTAACTGTCAGCCTTCAAGTGATGCCAATGTAAAACCATACTGAAGAAAATAAGGTGATAGCATCAGCACACACAAAAAAGCATAGAAACATATTTGCTTGGTTAGATTTGTATTTAGCTTTGTGCTTCTTTGATCTCTGGGAAAGTCAATGCCTTACAAAAACAAGTTTGTTTCCTGATGGGCTTACTATTTTCATCTGCTGGGAGGCAGATTCTGGGCAAGGCAAGGTTAAAATGGCTCAGTATCCTTGGCTGGGAGTTGACCTTTAGGTCTTTGAATGAGTCATTCATAGTTCCTTTTACACCACAGCTACCTTAGTATCTGTTTTTGTTGTTGTTGTTGTTTTTGTTTTGTTTTGTCTGTCATGGGGCCTGAACTCTGGGCCTGGGTGATGACCCTCAGCTTTTCAGCTCAAGGCTAGCACTTTACCCCTTGAACCACATCACCACTTCCGGCTTTTCTGCTCATGTGGTACTAAGGAATTGAACCCAGGACCTCATGCATGCAAGGCAAGTGCTCTACCACTGAGCCACCTTCCCAGCACCTTCTTAGTGTTTTTGAAGAAAACGGCTTCCTGAACTACACTAACTAGATTAACTACTTAAATTCAAGGCTTAAGCCAAGCACCAGAGGAGGCTCATGACTGTAATCCTAGCAACTCAGGAGGCTGAGATCGCAGTTCAAAGCCAACTGGTTCAGGAAACTCCAGGAATGGTCCATGAGTCAAAAGCACACACAGGCATGAATGAGCATGCACACATGCATACACGTACACACACACACACACACACACACACACACAAATGGCTTATATTAACAATATCATGTGGCTCACTCCTGTATAATGTAGATTTGAATGACATTTCTAATGAACCCTGGAAGGTGGCTTTTTTCTGACCTTCACTTAGGTAAGCTAATAGTCCAGAGAAAGAATGAAGCAGTGAACTGAGAAAACCTGATGTCCTAGTCTTCATGTTTCATTAATTGTATAGCCCAGGCTGGGCTCAAAATCACTATGTATCCAAGGTTAACCTGGAGTGCATGTAACCACCACCACTAGCACCCATAAAGTTTGTGATCAGTCATGTTATCTCACCGGATCTCGAGTCAATTCTGAAAACATGGAGCCAAACTACATTGTTCAGCAATGTCAGTGCACATGATTTTTGTAAAGTATGCTAACTATATTACACCTGTGAAAATAGATAAGCTTGTGGTGATCTCTTGGAGAAAGGAGGAAAAAAGGGGAAATAATTTCAAGTAGCACAACTGTAACTTGAAGAAATGGGACAAGTTCACAAGGAAAGCATGATCTTTAGTTCACAGTATGTGCATATTTTATTAGGAGGTAGAGGCTGTATTTTCTCTGGTTGTCTCCACTGCATGTAAAAGCGGATATTTCTGCTGTATTCTGTTACTAACTTCAAAATACATGACATTACATAAAAAGAGCAGGAGCTATTCCCAGAGCATGAAAACAGACTGTAAGGCATAAAGCAATGTAGGCAGAATCACCTTCCTCATAATGGCTGCAAAACAAAAGCAGTAATGACTTTCTCCGTTCAAGTGGCACAAACTTCCATTGGGCAATCGTATTGCATAATAAAGCATAATAATGATTTCTTTACTTTGGGCTCTTAGTAATCTGGAAGTAATCTAGGAGACAATCCAGTCACCATTTATGATCTAAGTAACTCATATTAAATACCAATTGGGATGATTTAATGACATGTCCCATAGCGTAAAGAAAAGCTTTATAAAAGGAAGAAAGGAGAGATACCAAGACTAAGGGATATCCACCGCCACCAGGTTAATTGTGTCACATTGCTGGAATGTGTCTCAATACACTCCAGTTCTATATAGGTCCTCACCTGGTTCACCAAAATAGTCTAAAGCCCTATGGTAAAACTTCATCCCCCACCTCCCCAAGAAAGCAGTAAATAAACCATTGGACTAGAAATACATACGCACTAGATTGTTTCTTCCCCATCATTTTCCATAAATCCACCAAATGCTCAGAAAATTCAGGAAGAAACAATGACACAAAATTACTATACATGGGGCAGGTGGGAATTGAGATTATTAAGATGGATCCATAGAATGAAAACACTGAACATAACCCAAAATTCTACTGAGAGAAAATAAGCACACGAAAAGGCAAATCTTGATATACACACAGTAGCTGAATAAATATCTGGACCTGGGATGGGAATAGAAGGGAGTTGAAAGGTTCAAGGTTTTTATTGAATTGAAGAGGTGTTTTTGAATTGTACTGTGAGAAGGGAAAATGTGCTTACAAATTAGGCATTATAAGCTGCCTAAGAATTTTTAATGGAGAAAGAAATTTTAAAAATGTAAACTTAAAATTTCTAGTTCTTTATTGA